CACCAACTGGCGTGCAGTCTTTTTGTGGAAAGCAGATAAACAACATGCGTCACTGTGGCTGATTCACTATCAGAGAGGTACAAGGAAGAGCTCTACGAGCTGCAGGCATCAGTCAGGGGATAGGTCTCTCCAGGCAATTATTATGCGAAAGAAAAAAGAAATTGAAATGTATTTTGCCAAAGACTGATTTAAAAAAAACAAATCCAACATAAAAATGTTTCTAAATACACAGATGTTTACCAACTATCCCCCAAGGCATCCATGTGGGTGTGCTCCCTCCCTTGTAGGCCTCTGTGTTTGGGGTTTCTGGGCCAAACAGTGCAAACATTTACTGTCTATCCCCAACTCAGATACTTTTAGGAACTCTAGTCCGTGAATTACCTGCTCCCTTCCTATGTGGTTTTATTTATTTATGTGTGTGTGCATGGGTATGCTCCCAAGCAAGACCCCTGGGACTTCTTCCCACTTCTCTATTTGTCCCAGACTCTCACAAGGTTAAATTCTTGGCCTGAGCATGTTGTCCAGAGACGCAGTGATCCTTGTGCTCAGTGATGTGTCTGATTAAAAAGGAGGGAGAAAACTCAGCAGGAGGAACCTCCATATCATAATGGGAAGGAAAACAGGTCTGGCATCTTTCTCAAATGGATCAGAGTCCAGGCTGCACCACTTGCATAGGAAAGTCTTGAACCTTGATGAATGTCGGTTTTCTCATCTTTAAAATGCACGAACAACGCCCACTGCAAGGGGCTTCCAGGTTCGCTGATGGACCTGGTGTGTGGGGTGGCACATAGGTCATGGATGGGGGGGTCTCAGGGTGGGTTTCCTTGTCTTGCCTCCTCCGTTTCATTCCTTCTGCTTTCCTAGGCCCTTTTTCACTCCATATCGGACAGACAGACAAAACTCAATAAAGCTGTTGGCAGAATGAACTGGTATGAACACGCTGGGAAACATGGACCTGGGGTAGATTCGAACACATCCCCTGTACCTAGGAACGAGCTCTCCCATCACACTCCTCTACGTCTGACTAGAAGGCCTGAGGCAGGGTGGGCTCTACCAGCTCTGCGTAGTTCCCTGCCATCCCTCCTCCCTTCCCGTACTCTAATACCTCCTAAATTATATTTTAAATAATATAATTATTTAAATATTTTTACCTCCTCAGTGCCTCTGCATGATTTTTTTTCAAAATCCAAGCACACGACGTCATCAGAGACAAGGGGTGAAAGAGGACTGAGGACCAGGCCCTACAGCAGCGGCGACCCCTGTCGGCAGGCAGCCCGAGCACCCATGGGAGCAGCCATGGGGGCTACTGCGCCGTCCTGCCCCTCCGCCGGGGGATGGCCCCCTGCCTCCATCCCCCCCTCTTCTGATGCAGACATCTCTGGCGGCGGGTGTGGGACCTTCCCCGCCACCACCCCACCTTCAGTCCCTTCTGGCAGCAGGTTTGGAGGAGCAGAGCGTTTCTCTGCACAGGCTCCTGAGGCGGTGGCCCCGCCGGGGGCTCCCCATTTCCCTCTCCACCTCCCCTTATGAGGGGAGCCCCTAGCAGGGGTGCACGGGAGTGGTCTTGGCCCCACGCCCCTCTTCAGCACCCGCTCTCCACGTCCAGCGGCGGCCCAGGCTGGGGCTCAGGCCTGCCCCCGGGGGGCGCACCAGGATACTCGGCACCTGCTTCCGGCCCGGCCGCCCTTAACCGCTGCTGATGAGCCAGTGCCCCTTGGCTGCCTCCTGGAGTCTTTCCTGAATGCCGCCCCACTGTCTTACGGTCCCCTGTGCTCTCTCCCTTCTACGCTCTTGTCCTCGCGAAAGCTGGCAAGATGTCTTGTTTGCTTTTTGCGTGTGTTCCTATAGTGCATCACCGCTCCTGGCACATAGCAGATGCTTAAAAAGTATGTGTTGAAGGAACGAATGAGGAAGTGAAGGTACTTCACAAATTCACATTTGCTTCTCTTCAAGCAATAGTCCTCTCAGTAGGAAATGGTTGGGTATTTTTCCCACAAGGTCACTTTCTCTGATTTGGAAGACCTGAAGATTATGTTATTTTTATCTGAATTCCTGATGTTCCATATTGTTAAAAACCAGTTTCTTGTAATAAAATACAACCAAACTTCCAGTGGGCAAAGAGAGGACACAGGAAGAAGTATACTTTTCAAAGAGGCAAGTTCTATGGGTCATTCACTTCTAATGAGCAGCAGAAGCAATGTTATTCATTGTCCCCAATTCTGTTAACATCTACCCATGATTTTTCACTAAGGATGCACCTACATTCCTCCGATTTCCTTCTTAGAATCTTTGTGATGTTGTAGATGCAGATACACAGCTTTCAGTAAGTACAAATGACTCATAAGGTATGTATCATCACAGAAAGTGTGACGAAGAAAATAAAAAGTAACTAAAGTACAATTGCCTGCCTGCTGTTGCTAAGTCACTACCCTGTAAACCTCTCCCTGACCTTGGGCATCTGTTAGAGGGCTGGACCTACCTTGATGTGTCTAGCCCTGTAATTTATTAAGAGTCTGTTCAGAAAAGTGATTATTTATAATAATCAGAAGATGAGTATTTTTTTTGTTTTAGTTCTTCAGCTAGAGAGATGTACCAAATTATTGGGAAGGACAGTGGTAGGAAACTTGAATTGACTTATTTTGATTTAAATTATTTTTCTTAGTTTATGACTGCATGTAATTTTTCATGAGATTTATCCTACCAATATAAATTGGTAAATTGGTGTTTATTTACAGTATTAACATTTTGACTTGTTAGGCACATATATTCCACCCTTAAATGTTCTCTTAGCTGGGTGGGAGAAAATTGGATAAATAGTATTATTTGCAGTTATTTAAGTTTACTACTCCCCATTTATGAAAATGGAATAATGGCACCCCAGCTTCCCCAGAAATGTAAGAAGAATCACCCAGAGCTTCATAAAATATAAATACTGAGTGATATAAACAAAGCATAAGAAATAGCTATGGACTTTGATCTCCATTTAGACCTTGCTAGCAGATCTGTCAAAAAAATAAAAGAAAATCTCAGTAAGTAAGAAAGGCATTCATGCATTCATTCATTTATTCTGGCAGGTAGAAAGGAAATCACTATAAAAGTTTGCAGCAGCTAGTATGGGTCAGGGATAATAGTCCTGGGAGCGAGGGAGAAGAGGAATTAAAACTGTAAGAAATAGACAAGGTGCTGAGCTCTGGGAGTCAGATTCCCAAATGAAATACAATAATGTTGGGCAAGTGCCTTCAAATAAGCAAAGCACTGAGAGAACACAAAAGCAGAAGTTCTAGTGTTTCCTGAAGTTGTGCAGAGGGGCCTCAGAGAGGAGGTAGCCCTTGAACAGCTGTTCACAGATGGATGCATATTTCCTCTCCGAAATCTCTGTAGGGTACTGAGCCAATTCATTGCACTGCTGACAGAAAGTTTATAAAGGAAAATCAAATACATCTGAAACAGATTGCTATTATAAATTACCTTGTAAAAAGTAAGCCGTTCACAATATATCTTAGGTTCACACAATAAGATAACCTTGACAGCCACACAAATTGCTACTACTGCTATTGTTAACATTCATTCACAATCTTTTATTCAAACTATCACTACATTTATTACATATTAAGAATCTATAACATTTAATTCTAGGTACTAATCTCATTTAATTTCCATAGTCAGACAATGAGGATATTATCTGCATTTTACAGATGAAAAATTCAAGATGAGGAGAGGTTAAGTCTATGCATCAGGAGTGCTGAAATGAGGACTCACATTAGAGTCTGTCTGACTTTAAGGTTTGTGTTTCTACTCTCTCTCAATCCAGGAAACTATTTTAAAAACAAAGTTTTGAAGGCATGAGACAGATACAATGATAAGTTCTCTTCAATTAGCAATGAAAATATGTGATTTGTTGAAACAACAGGCAGAAGTAGAATGTTCCTCAAAATGATAAATGTGGTTCTTTAATTCTGGAGAATTTCAAACATGAAAAAAAAATGCATAAGATAACAAAATAAACCCATGCCTTCAACAATTATCAACATTTTGTCCATCCTGTCTCATCTCCCCCTTAATTTCTTTTTGAGTATTTATTTAAATGCAAATCCCAGATATCAGATATTTTCTTTTTTCTCTTGTAAATACTTCAATATACATCTCTATCTGATAAGGATGTTTCCCTCTATTATCATCATAGAGATATTTTAAAAGTCTTACTCTCTTTTTGTAGAAGATATTCCACTGAAAGTTTTCAAAATTAAAGTATAGCCTCTGTAAGAAGAAAACCACACAAAACTTTTAATTCTACTGTTTGGACATAAAGTCATGTTGACATCACTTATCAAATCACATGAAAATAAAGTGATTCTGAATGATGAACTTTTGATCATGTTAAATGTGCAGAACAGAGTCCATGGGTGCAAGGAAGCAGAGATCCTTCACTGGCTCAAGATGAATGAGCCTGTATTGGGCAACGAGCTTAAAAATGTGTCTCATGTGCAAAAACATAAGACAGAATTTAAAAGTCCTGTTCTTTAAATCCAATAGGCAAGAAGAAAATGTACAAACACAAAGAAATAAGAAAAATTTGTGTCAGAAAATTGTACTAGAAAACAGATATGCGTATGTATTCAGCTATATTTAAAAAAATAAAAGAAAACTAAAGAAATAGAATAAACTTAAACATTTATTGTAGTCAATACCTACATCAAGTATACATGTCATTTTAGAAAGTCTTTCCTCCTTCAAAATCCTGCGGCTATAATGTCTACCTCACTCTCACCCCACCCCAATTATTAGACCAAAGTCTGAAGGAGCCAAGTTCTAACAAATATAATAAACAGAATCATGATTTTTTAAAAATGGTATTTGTTAAATGTTTTACTGGTCCAATTTAACCACAAGAAAGTTAAGCACAAAGTGTAACTTTGCCAGAATATCACAATAGAATCTCCACGAGGGGTACTGAGTCTGGGTCTACAAAAATTTAGTCTAATTGGACTGGAAAGGAAACAAAAATTTTAAACAAAAAAAAAGAAGGAATCTATGTGTCTGATTAGCCATTGCTTGCCAACAGCTCCACCAGCAGCTCAAATCCCAGAATTTTCCTCTATTGATCCTGAAGCCACCTTCTCAAACCTCGCTACTCCTGAGAGGCCGGCCCCTCAGCCCATTCAGACAGGCATGTGCTGACTGCACGGCCCGCACAACTGAGAGCTCACCCGGATAAAGAAGCCACGGGCAGGTCAGTTCGCCTCCGATGTGAGGAAAAAACAAAACAAAACAGTTCACTTCCTTTCTCATTAGATTCTAGAAAACTAAATAAGAAGATTCATAGGAGGAGGCTATCATCTTGCCACCTGGATAAGAAAACGAGAGTATCGCATCCCGCCCCCTAGGGCGAATGCAGGAGAACGATCACCGAAGGCCTGGTTCGTTAGGAATCTTTATTATGCGCGACCGAGCATCCATCTAGCGAAAGGCAAAAGCAAAAAACAACCACCACCACACTTCCTCCAGGGCAGCAGCTTATGTAGCATATCCCAACCAATCAGCTGACTGATCACACGCCAGGTTCAGTCTTATTGGAAACATGTGAAAAGCATGCTATGAGAACGAGCATGGAAATGGGGATAAGCCAATCATGGAGACTTCCTTATGCGCTGAGCTGTAGGGCCAGGAAGGGTGGTGTCTAGGAAGCAGGCGCCATCTTTAGGGCGTTGTCCAGCTAGAGTGGGGCTCAGCCTCGGCCATAGGCCGGGCCCCCCACACGAGAGATGGCAGAGACATGATTCTGCAGCAACTGGGCTGCAGCTCCTAAGTGCAGATTTGGGCAGCCCAAAATAGCGACTGTAGAACAGAATATCTGTGTTAGATCTGAAATTTTCCTGAAATGTATTTTTTTATATATCTTACATTGTCAATCATCAGGTGTATCAGAGTATATGTTAAGCAGTTCGTATTAGACATCAGTTTGCCTAACCGGATCAAACTAATGAAAGAGCACAGGAAGCACACATTCATTTAAGATTCAGGACTTTGACTTCTTTTTGTCTCAGTTTATTCATCCATAAGATAAATGAGACAAACTAATACCTGTCTAAAGGTACCTCCTAGTATTGAACTAAAAATAGCATAAATAAGAGAATGCATTTTAAAAATTAAAAATGCAAAGTATGATTTTTATTATTAATGATTTTCCTCCTTAAGCTTTTTCAATGTCTCAATTCCTTAATGTTTTCTTCCTATATTTGTAGTACAGAAATGCTTAATACTTACATACACAATGAAAACAGGACAGATTTAATAGTAAAAGCAGAAATACATACCAATCTACAAAAGTGCTTATCTCTTAAATGAACTCTTTAATCAATAATATTTTAAGGAACAACCTCAAAGAAACATGTAGTTAATGAAAAATATTAAGTGTAATCTCAAAAAATAAATAATTTGTAACCTTATTGGGTAAAGTACTTGTGAAGTTCTTTATTGACTTTAGGAAAAGAATGCAGCCTAAGAAATATTGTTGTACACATGACATGTTGGTTTTAGGCTCAACTGAAGAATACGATTACAGTTTGGCTCACAAATTGTTGACAGAAAAATTGTTTTTATATTTTGTTTGGTAATTTTCATTGCATAGAAAGTTTATACTGGTAAGAAAGATGAATGTCCTTTTTGTCTTTTATATATATTCCTCCCCATTTTGTACTATATATGTATTAGAGGAAGATGAGGAATAATGACAAAAAAACTTTATTAAATGGGAACTCTTTTTTTTGGCCAATTTCCAATCTAAATTCCTAAGAAAAAGGGCAAGTTTTCTGTGGAAGTGCTACTTAATAGACATTAATTTCTGCTGTCATTTCCAGAACAGCACAGTGATTTAGTATGTCCACTGAATCACCCTTGCTGAGTTGGGGATATCTGCTCTGTACTTATTAGCTATGTGAGAGAGGACAGACTATTTAACAGTTCTGCCTCCACAATATGATCCATAGGGTGGGAATAATGTAGAGTTACTGTGAGGATTCAAAGAACTGATACATATAAAATGCTTAGAACAGAGTAATGGCTCAGTTAAGTTTTACTTATTACTACCAGATATAATGCACACATGCACACACACACCCTTTGTTTCTGTGAAAGATTTTTAACCCTCTTTGCTGTGTTTGAAAAGAGATGCTTAGAGTAAAAAAAGAGAGAGAAAAGAATTCTGCTAGTTGTAAAAGAGAAATATTTTAAATCTCACTTAGAATTGAAATGGAAGACTCTGAATAAGAGAAGACCCAGTCCTGCCAAAAGAAAGGCTTGCTCACAAAGCTTGAACGATCACTAGCTCAGACTCCACCTTGGAAGAGCAGGACCCTGCAGGCATGTCGACAGAATCCTTTTGAAAGACACCCCAGGGATACAGACCACAACTACCCAGCTTTCATTCTCTGTAACTCAGCGAGCTCTTCTTGGGAAACTAACTGCTAAGAAATGAGTCAAGAGAGGAATTCTCTAGCCTGTTCACAAAAAAGGCCATTGCAATATTATGTATAATCATGAAACAACTAAGAAACGACCTAAATGTCTCAGAGGGGAATGTATAATTGATGGAATATTATGTCATTATTAAGATGATACATATAATGATTAGCAATATGGAAAGTAATGGTTAATATCAAGAGAGAAAAGGCTTGAAGTGTATATACCTTATATACTGTGACTTCATGCAAACATACTTATAAATAGTTTATGTAATTATATAATTACAAGCAATAAGGGAACTGGGAGAAACCAACTGGGTTTTGTCTGGAGTAATCATGAGTACAATTTTGTTGTAAAAGTCTAATTTTGATGCTTAAAAAACAAATACAAAATTAAAACATGAAAACATATGAAGTATAATACTAAAACTAATCAAGCAACTTGAGTTTTAACGAATTGGTAGTTTAAGTTACTGTTTGATTTCATTAACTCTTAGAGGATGTTTTACTATCTTTCTGGTGATTTTGACACTACTACTAAAATAATGTACATTATACATGTGTGACAGGACATCTATTATAACATAGCAAGTTTGATATAAGAAAATATTCTGTTGGCATTTTTTCCATTTAAGAAGTAAATAGAAAATACTTAATCATTCAACTGTTAATTACCCTAAAGTGTGAGAGGTAAAGTAGAAACAACATACACTAAATACCTACTATGCAATATGTAGACTTTCTAAAAACATATTACTTCTCATTCAAAATACTACAAGAAAATTATAATCGATAATACCAAAATACAAAAACGTATCCAGTACACTCTGGTCAGGCACCATGCTAGCCTCCAGGAATTCCATAAAACACAAATGTCGGCTAGAAAGGCTGTGTCTCCAGCCATAGATCACAAGTTCCTTGGATGCTGACTTGAGCAGCAGATTGCAACTTCATGCTCAGTAACATGAACCCACCAACACACCTGAGCTGGGCAGACCCACAGATTGGACCAGCCACCTGATGGCAGAAACCAGAAAAAAGCTAGCATGAGGCCAAGTGAACACCCCTCCTGTAAGGACAAACAGACACCGTCTGGGAGGGAAGACAGGAAAAGAAGACACCACATGCTAAAGACTTGAGCTTACAGTCCATGGGGAATTTATTCAAAAAGAGATCTGAAATCAAAACAGACTGATTTTTCTCTGGAGGAGGCAGAGAAACCAGTAGCTGGCAATGCCTATCTTTCTCCTTCCTAACCAGAGGAAAATAGTGGGAGTGAGGAGAGGAGTATTTAAGTTTATAAGAACATTAAATGGGTGATGGAGAATAAAGTTAATTTACTTTAGCTAAGCAGTATATGAATACCTTTGTACATTGTGGCCTCTCTTAAAGCAGAAATTACATTTTATTCATTTACTTATCCCCCATTAGGAATCAGCACACATGTCCCTGATAGTCACAGAAGAAATGGCACTGAATGAATACATTATAAGAGTTGGAGAGATCAGAGAATTCAGGAGAACTCACATGATTTACCACAGAAGCTCTTTCTTGGGGAGCTGGAGCACCTAGAGTAGACCTGCCTGAGGCATCTGGCAGTGAGGGGGCAGAGCAGTCCCCAGCCACTGCCCACCAGGCCTACATCTCATTTCCTTTCATTTCTTCCTTTCATCTTGACATGCAAACTATTTTTTTTTTACCTACTATGAATAAATTTCTGTCCTTCCTCTTCCAACCCCTCATATCGAATTACACAGTTGTGTTGAACAATTTAGAACAAAAGTTAGAGAAAACTAGCAAAGAGATTTTTTTTAATCAAGGAAAAACCTGTAAGGAAGTTATATTATCACCACCTCTGATTATTTGGATTTTAGAGTAAAAATTTTTGTCTTTGATGAAAGGTGTTCCCAGATTACCTTTTGAGCATTTGAATCCTTCTAATGTATTAACACAATTTTGTATATCGACCAAACTATAAAACGTAACATACACAATTTTCTAGCTCTATCAAGTTTTGTTTTCCTTTTTTCCTCTTTGGTCTTATGTTTGTGCTGTACTTATTTCTTTTTTTCCTTTAAAATGAAGGAAGAGCCTTTCCCACTTATATCTACTTTAGGGGCATTTATTTAGAATGAAATAAGAAAGACTTATAATTATAGTTCAATTAGTGCCTCAAAATGGAAAACTGTACCAAGCTGCTTAACCAAATGCAGATTTGGTTGAGACTCCAGAGTTACTTCTAAGTCAAGGCCTTTGAAAGTCTGGACCATTACTTATATTTAATTTATGGTTCTCTTCTAAGGGCAGCGCTGAACTGATTGCTTACTGGGTTCAAATTTTGGCTTTAAAAATTTGCATATAGATTAACTCACATTGCATATTTTTTCTTGTTATAGTATCTGTTTTTCTCAGCTAAAACATGAGGGCATTTAGATGTATCCAGTCCTGTTTATCAGAGCTGTCTACAAAAGGGGTCTCAGATAAAGGCAGAGTGTTGGATGAGCTCTCCTGAGATTTCTAAGCTCTTTCATTTCCTTCTTTCTTATTTTGGTCTTATAAAGTATTGTTTGTAGCCTCCCACCAGAAGTGAACTGGAACAGTTCGGCATTCTAATTTGCACAATTTAAAGGATGCATGTATCTCCAAGTTTAGAGTAAAATATCCTCATATAGAACTATGTGGGTTTTTTTTTTAGTTTTCTCAAACTTCCAGACCTTTAGCATTTTAAGTAGATACCCCTACAAAATGAAGTTTTCCCTGCTGTGCCTGGATTTGTACCAGGACCCACTGAGCTCAGTCTTCCAGGGAGCAGAGACGACGACCAAGGTGACTGAAGTGCTGAGGGCACCATGGTCTCCGGCCCTCAGCACAGTTCTCCCCGTGGTGAAGTCCTGGTGAGACATAGACGATGCATGCAGGCTCGGTCCTCTGGGGAGAGATTCGTAGAGGCTCTGTTTATGAAGGTGAAGGCAAGGAAAGAAACCATAAACACCATAGGGAGGAACAGCAGAGTTAGGAAGAGGGATTGATGCCACCCTGAGCAGAGGATGGGAAATAGAGGCAGCAGGTGCCAGAACCTGGAGACCGGGAAGCACATGTACAGAGGCTGATGGCAAGAGCTTGGCCTACAATGGAGGGAGGCACCCAGACAGCAGCCAACTCATTTTTGACCCCCACAGCTGGGATCAGAGAATAAGGGAGTTCACTGATAAAGGTCAGACTCTTGGAGAAACAGGGTGGAGCCTGGATCTGAAGAAGTAAATAGACTAGATACAAAAATAGTTGGAATTGATCCCTCACCTCCAGGGTAATGGCCACTGCTAATCCATAGGCACCTCTGTGTGAATTGGGAAAAAAAATTGCCACGGATGAGTAGACACAGATCTACCCGGGCGCAGGACTGTGCTTCTATGAGAAGTATTAAAAGACTGTCCATTTTCCAGGAAATACAGCCCAATGCCAGAGTACACACCTTGGAAAGCAGACCATGGGCGAGATTCCAGTTCCCACTAAGCCTCTTGGCTGAGCAACCTCAGACTATAAGGAATGGACACTGATTGATCTGATCAAACTGAAGTGATGTATCTCCTTGTCAGTTATTGGTTCAGGGCTGGGTACAGAACCCAGCTCAGGCCAGTCAGCTCCTGACTATCCCCTGGTGGTAGCCAGGGTTAAAAAGTCAGGCACATGTCTGACAGCAGCCTGATAAAAGCGAACTTCAGCACTTCTGGTCTCTGCTCGAGAAGTACTTCTCCCTGACTCAGAAATGAATGAGGAAGCATGTGACCCTAGAGTTTCTAGCACTTGCCATGATAGAAGCCAGCCTAAAAATGAGCCTGATGCCCAGAAGGAGAAAATGGAGAAAATCATCCACACCCTTATGATCAGGGAAAATTCTGAAATGTCCTAAATTAAGTGGCATAAGAGCTGGAGAATGAGGGAGAGAAGCAAATTGTGGGCTGTAGATAACCAGAAACTCCATATTCCTGGAGGAAGTCTTTCAACAGTCATCGAGAAGGTCCCCAGGATACCACTTCCCCCTTGTGTGCAAATAGTCCCTGGCCAACAACCCCACCAATCCATGAGCCTTCTCTAGAGAATAACACCCTGGACTTTCTCCACTTTGTGTTAGCCCATCTTCCTTATCTAAACCAATGTGAATTGAAGCAACTTTTTTCCCTGAGACTCTTGGTAAGTGTCCTGTTTCTTGAGTCTGGTGGATAAATTGTGTCTGTTAGCTGATCTTGCAACTGGTGGAGCAGAAACTTCCTGTCCCAGGAATCAGTCTTTTTCCTGGCTACCATCTATAATGGCTCAATAAACCCCTTTTTTTAAGAGATCTTAGGTCTCTAGAAGTTTTTGATTTGTTGCTTATAGTTTCTTAAGTGTCAGAGTCAAATTATGCTTGAAGTCTGCTGTGTCTCTGTATTTTTCAGTTACATTAATCAATAAATTTCTTTCAGTTTTTAAGCTATGTAGAGTTGAGTTTTCTGTTGCTTGCAAACAGGATTACAGTCCCTGCCCTCTCAGTCAGGGACAACTGAGGCTTTTTCATCTTCATTATCCCAACCATATAGGACTAGGAAAATTTTTTTAAAAGCCTATTCAACTCAAACTACACCTTTAGCTCAAAAACCATATTGATCATTCCTGTATGTCTGCCCTTATTGGTATTCACTTAAAAGTAAAAGTGCCTAAAAAACTCTTTTACACACTCAAATAATGTTTTCTTTCTGATGCCACTTTAGTATAATTGCTATGGAAATATCTTTTATCATTTATTATTACAGTTGTGTTTGCATTTGTAGGTATTGCCTCCTCTGAGTGGACACTTACCCTAGGTATCATTTTCATGTCCAAGGTTTGATCTTCTATTGGTTATTTGCAGATTTTGCATTTAAATTATTTGCACACAAGTATGACGGTAAAACTTATTAGAGACACTGCTGTCAGAAGAAGCCAAGAAACACAAACTAAAATTTAGCCACTCAGAAATTCAGTTGGTTTTAATTATCAGGAGCTAGAGTCCAAAAGCAGACTAAAATGTGGCAGCCTGAATCTCTGTAGTGACCTGAGCTTTCCTGAATTAACTCTTGCACCGACCTTTTAACCAGCCTTCCCATATGTGATCTTGACCTCTTCAGAACTTGCCTCCACCCCATTCACAAGAGGTCACTGGTAACTCTTTTGAGTGGGGAGGGACTGGCACATAGTAAAACCTCAAAAAAAATAGACATTGGTAATATTCTTGCTTTCTTGTGAAGAATATAGAATTGTGTTCAGTCTCCTTAAAAAAGGGAGATTAAAGTCTTTAGTATCTTGCCTGATTTCCAGCCAGTCTCTCTGGTTTCCTCCCTTTCTCCTCTATGCCTTACAGAGTGCTTTTCCAGCATCTTCTTTACACAGTTTTTTCCCTCTCTGTGTCTTCCCTACATTGCTCTCCTCTGCTCAGAGTGCTTCCTCAGCCTCTCCTCCAGAAGCTTCCCAGCTTCTACCTGGCCGGCTACCACTACTTCAGTCTTCATCACCTGGTGTCCCCTCCACTATTGCTCCCCTTTCACTATTCTTCAAGAGCAGTCACTCTTCCTCTGCAGTCTCTTTTTAATTATTTCCCTTCAATCTGCTATGAGTATATCTTTATGTGTGGACTTGTCCACTAGACTGAATTTGATGACAACAGGAATAATTCCTTATTTCCTTTCATATTCTTATGACCATTAAGGAGAGAGGGATTTGAAGGACTCCATCTACAAAAGAACATTTTTTCTCCTTAAGGTAAGAAACTCCAAAAACATCAGATTTAATCTAATAAAATATGTCTGCGTCAGTTGAGAAAATACTTCGTTTGCATTCAAGTTAGACACTGAATTGAAATTCTTTGTGCATTGTGAGTGGAGTTGACAAATTTAAATTAAATTATACTTTCAATTAACATTTAAAACTGGAAGTAGCATTTCATTTTTCTAGATCCTATCAGAAACAGTTTTTTTCCAAAAGCTCACTAATCAGATTCCAAATATTTTGGACTCTTTCTCTGCTGGAACCTTCAGAAAACAAGAACAAAGACAAAAATGAAAACAACAATAACAAAGCATACTTTAAATACGTCATACAAAATTGTTGCTGAAAAAGGCTAATTTCAAATTATGAGAGGCTTTATTCTAGCTGATTGCTCTCATCTCTTCAGGGATGATGTGATAAGGAAATGTAAAGGTAGGATTAAAGGCAGCCTGTTTTTTTCTTACTATGAAGTCTTTCTAGTTGAAACCTGTGAAGAAACTCTCTCTTCCTTTTTGAAACCATGGAATGTAGTGTAACTTGCTTGTCTGAGGGTTTTGGCTCAGCAGGCAAGGAAACTTCCTATCATTACAGACTGTTAGTAATGGTAGAGTAGTCTGGACTCTGGACCAAAATGAGTGTCTACTGTGAGGCCAGCTGTGGCACATGGCCGCTGAGTGGGACCATGCAGTGCAGAAGACAGGCGTGGTTGATCAGCTCCACTAGAGAGATACGGCCAGGGGGCTATTGACCTTGCAGACAGGACTGTGATCCCTTCATGTGCAGGAGAACTATTGCGGGCCTTAAGGTGCACGTGGCCCTGTACATGGGTGAAAAGCACAGTATCTTACTGAGAGAAAGTAATGCAATAGTAGCTGTGGCAAAGCACATTTTTAGGGGTAAAAGTTAATCTTGTTTCTTATAAATAACCAGATGCTAGGGTAAAAGGAGGCAGCCTATGAGGCCCCACAGCCAACCAGCAGAGACCAGCTTGAGAGTCTAGAGGAGAGTACTGAAGGCTGGACCACTGAGACAAAAGAATGCACAGCCCAGGACCACCTGCCATCACCACAGCCACAGGGCTTAGGGCAGAGACACCGGAGATGGAACACAACCCTTCATTTTTCATTCTGATTAGTTATATATGTGCCCAGGACCCCTAAGAAAACATGCATATAATTTGCCTAGAGTGCCAGTTTGATTCTTTTCAATTAATTACCGTCTTATTTATAAAACCCAATATTAAAGTACTAGAAATTTTTCAAGAGAGAAAACAAACTGTAATTTAATTATGATATATCGTTTGTTGTAAGATGCAAAATGACTATAAAGATATTTTTTTAAAACTAAACTATCTTACAATCTATGAAATATGGCACCTAGATTTATTAGTTCATTTTGATACTAATGGTTGGATGAATATTAGCTTGAATGAGTTGTCTAGGATGCCATATACCCTAAAAGTGCTTCCTTTTGATGCCTAAATAGGATCAATCCAGATTGGCCACTGTCATATCAGTAAGGTGTATAAAATGATGCCAAATGCACAAAACTTTTTTTTAAGGAGAACATGGAATGTGTTTTATTCAAACATCACACAGCGGTTATCTCTAGACAATATCAAACCTGGGAAAACAAAATGTGAGTGAAGTCAGTTTGACTTGCTCCCTATCCCTTCCTTTTAAGTTATTTTTGGGCATACTTGACTACCACCATCACCATACCTTTCATTCGCAGTCACTTAAAAGTGCTGACAATCAAGGCCAATGGTTTCCAACCCCAATGCACATCAGAATTACCTGAGACGCCTTTGAAAAAAAATCTATTCCTAAGATTCAAAGGTTTGAAAACACAAACATTGTTGGCCAGACTATGAAGAAAGACTCTCTCAAATATTTCTGGTAGGAATATAAAAACACATGCAAACCACTATGGTGGAGAGTTGCCAATATCTATCAACTGGCCCAGAAATACAACTTTAATAATTTGCCCTAAAATATAAACTACTACAAATACAAAAAAAATAATAATAATACGCAAAAGGTTATTCACTGTGGCACTATTGGTCATATGAAAGTATTGGAAGCCGCTCAGGTCTATCCATAAGAGGCTGGTTGAACAATCCTACTACATCTACACAGTGGAGTACTATTTTACATAGAGCTATAAAAAAGAATAAGAGTCATCTTTGAGAATGAATATGGAGTGAAAAAAAGTGATGTGCAGTAGAGTATTCTACCATTTTTATACCATATGTACAGAAATATACAATTTTTATTTTGGCAAAATAAAAAAAGAAGGATAAATCAGAAATGAATGTAAACGGTTCCCTATCTGGAGTCAGAAATTTTGTGGTCATAGGATTAGAAGATAGAAGAGGTTTCTCCAAGCATAATGTTTTTATAGCTTGGGAAGTTTTTGAGCCATGAAAATTTTACACACATTCAAAACTAAAATTATATCAACAGTATAAAAAAAACTCTAAAACTTAATTCGAACAGAAATAAATGAATTCAATTTTATATTAAATGATAATATGATAATATGTAATAAAATGATAAACAACCACACATTTTTTTAAAAAGGTTATTCAAATAACTCCTGAATATTCTCTGTATACCCTTAATGAGCTATTTCCTCAGGATAAAAAATAAATAAATATATCATGAACATTGTTTAATAGGTTTGTTGTTGATCCTTAAAACTATTTTTTGTGTATTGTAGAATAAAGCAAATGAGTTAATATATTCTTGGTGTTAGAATTAAGGCTTCTTATTGTGAGTGAAGTAGTGTATAAATATGGAATGGGGAAGGTGGATTCCTGAAGTGTGGAATTGAAGTGGAGTTGTCAGCATGATTTTTTAAAAATATACATTCCTAGCTCTGCCCACTGAAGGGACCCAGGCGTAATGTCACACAAGGGAAATGAATATAGTGGTACCAAGATCCTGTTTTCAAAATACCATTCACCACTGAAAGGAACTATTACTGTTCTCTGGAGAAATGTATCAGAGACAGAGAATGTACAAGGTGAGTCTGGAACATATGTCATACAGCAAAGGAAATGCCCAGAGAATGGTAAGTGCTTGTCGAAAGGACAAAGCAGCAAGCATCAAGGGCCAAATATGGGACAACTGGAATAATATGGGAAATTAAAAGCTTTAAAAAAAGAATGGAATTTTAGAAAATCTATGAGTTCATTGAGATACTGGAGGTAGGGGGGTCTTTTTTTTACAAAAGAATACCAGCTAATAAATGTCAAAGCAATAATAAAATTAGGAAATCATTATTTTGCAGTCTACAATGCGACTCAATTAAGAATCATCAATGTATGCTAGAACTACTGGATAAAAGTGTGTTGGGGAATATAATATTCACATACAACCAAAATGTCTTCCCACAGATTATTAATTATAAAGGAAAAAGCATACTTATAAAATGAAAAAAAAATTGGAAAACATCATCTTAACCAAATAACCAAACTTAGCAGAAAACTAGCATACTCTGTCTCCTGAAGGGATCCCATAGGAAGTACACACAGCATCTGTATCGTATTCTTACTAAAAATGTTTAACCTGTCTGATCATGAGAACATAATCAGAAACACACACATTCCACAAAATAGCCCAAACTCTACGAAAATGGCAATTTCATGAAAGGCAGAACATAGGAAAATGCTTTGGACTAAAGAAGTATAAGAAAAACAGGACAACTAAATATAAGGTGTGTAATATGTGATTATATTTCATATTTTTATAGCTAAAAAATACATTACTAAAAAAATGGACAAAAAAATTGCTGAAACAATTGAATTTGAATAGGGACTGGCCGTCTTCTTCATTGTAATATGAACTTTTAAAATAATATTTATTTCAGTAGCTCAAATTAGATGATTTGTACACAATGGGTGTCATTTCCATGATCAAACAATATTAATATGTTACCCTATGCTGTACTTTCATCCCTGTGACTAATTTATTTTATAATTGGATGTTCATACTACTTTATCCCCTTCACTGATTTCACTCATGGTAGCCCCTTTCCCTCGTGTCAGCCACCAGTGTGTTCTCTGTGATTAAGAGTCTATTTCTGTTTTGTTTGTTTATTCATTTGTTTCATTTTTTTAGATTCCACACATAAGTGGAATCATATTGTATTTGTCTTTCTCTGACTTATTTCACTTAGCACAATACTCTCTAGACCAATCCATGTTTTTGCAAATGTCAAGATTTCATTTTATATGGCTCAGTATTATTCCTTGTATGTGTGTACATGCACGTGTGTGTGTGTGTATAAACACAACTTCTTTATCCATTCAGCTATCAATGGATGCTTAGGTTATTTCCATATAATGGCTATTGTAAATAGTGCTCAGATCAATGTAGGAGTATCTTTTCAAGTTAATGATTTTGTTTTCTTCAGGTAACCACTTTCCCAGAAGTGGGTCATATGGTATTTACATTTTCAGTTATTTGGGAAACCTCCTTACTGCTTTCATGGTACACCAATTTATATTCCCACCAGCAGTGTAGAAATTTCCCGTTTCTCCACATCCTCACCAACATTGACTTCTTGTCTTGTTGATATTAGCCATTCTGACTGGTGTGAGGTGATATAAAGTGATTTCTCATTGCGGTTTTTATTTGTATTTCCTTGATGATAAGTCATGTTGAGCATCTTTTCATGTGTCTGTTGGTCATGTGTATGGTGTCTTTGGAAAAATGTTCAAGTCCTCTACCCATTTTTTTAATTGGATTATTTGCTTTTTTGGTGTTGAGTTGTATGAGTTCTTTATGTATTTTGGATATTAGTCACTTATCAATATATCATTTGCAAATATCATCTCCCATTCAGTAGGTTGCTTTTTTGTTTTGTTGATGGTTTTCTTTAATGTGAAGAAACTTTTTAGTTTGGTATTCCCTCTTGTTTATTTTTATTTTTGTTTCCTTTGCTTGAGGAGACTTATCTAAAAAAAAATTACTAATGCCAATGTTCAAGAGTTTACTGCCTATGTTTTCTTTTAGCTTTATGGTTTCAGGTCTCATATTAGGTCTTTAATCCATTCAACTTTATTGTTGTGTATGGTGTAAGACAGTCACCCAGTTTCATATACTTGTATGTAGCTATCCAGTTTTTCCAATGTCATTTTTTGAAAAAAACCTCTTTTCCAAATTGTATATTCTTGCCTCTTTTGTCATAGATTAATTGACCATATAAAGTAGGTTTACTTGTAGGCTCTCTATTCTGTTCCATTGATTTATGTGTCTGTTTTTGTGGCAGTACCATATTGTTATGATTAATGTAGCTTTGTAGTATAGTTAAAAATCAGAGCTCGTGATACCTCCAGCTTTGTTCTTGTTTCTCCAAGATCTATTTGGCTATTCAGGGTCTTTTGTAGTTCCATACTACAATTCTGTGCAAATGCCATTTTTTTTTAATGGGGATCGCACTGAATATGTAGATTGCTTGGGGTAGTTAGCCATCTTAACAATATTAGTTCTTCTTATCTATGAACATGGAATGTCTTCCCATTTATTTGGGTCATCTTCAGTTTCTTTCATCAGTATCATAGTTTTCAAAGTACAGGCTTGTCATTTCTTGGTTAGATTTATTCATAGGTATTTAATTATTTTTGATGCAATTTTAAATGGTATTGTTTTCTTAATTTCTGTCTCTGCTAGTTCATTATTTGTACACAGAAACAGCAGATTTCTGTATATTGATGTTCCATCCTATGACTTTACTGAATTTATTAATTCTAATAAGTGTTTTTATGGAGTGTTTATGGTTTTCTATGTATAGTACGGTGTCATCTGCAAATAGTGACAATTTTACTTCTTACCAATTTGGTTGACATTTATTTCTTTTTCTTGTCCAGTTGCTGTGACTGGGACTTCACAGATTTCTGTATATTGATGTTCCATCCTATGACTTTACTGAATTTATTAATTCTAATAAGTGTTTTTATGGAGTGTTTATGGTTTTCTATGTATAGTACGGTGTCATCTGCAAATAGTGACAATTTTACTTCTTACCAATTTGGTTGACATTTATTTCTTTTTCTTGTCCAGTTGCTGTGACTGGGACTTCCAATATTATATTGAATAAAAGTTGTGAGAGTGGGCATCCTTGCCTTATTCCTGATCTTAGAGAAAAAGCTTTCAGCTTTTCACCATTGAGTCTGATGTCAGCTGTGGGTTTGTTGAATATGACCTTTATTATGTGAAGTTATGTTCTTTCCTTACCCACTTTGAGAGTTTTTAGCATGACTGGATATTGAGTTTTGTCAAATGCTTTTTCAGCTTCTATTGAGATGGAAACATTATTAATATTTAAACATACAAGTTTTCTAAAGCACTTCAGTTAATGTTTTTTAAACTGGTTAGAATATTTTATTTTATAAAGACAATACAAATTTATATTTATAAATATTTATTTTATTTTATATAAATAAATATTTATTTATAAAGACAATACAAATTTAAATCTAGAGATTGCTTTATATTTGGTAGAGAAGAATGCTGAGGCTTAGGTGATTTCTCCTTTTCTCCTGCCCAACTAGGTTAGAGTAATTGTTTTAGTGTCGTCAACCACATAAAAACCCATTGCAGAGGTAACCGGAACAAATAAACCAAAGAAGAAAGCAAATTGAAACAACTCATGCATATGGACAGAGATTTTAACTTTTTCATCTTTTCTGCTCTCATAATAATTGGCATAAGACCTTTTATATGATAGGTGTGTTATAGCTCAAGACCCAGCCAGTTAGCTGAAAGTTACTAAGATTGATTCAGGAACAGGGCACAGTATGGGTATAAAGTTCCGAGAACATGGAACAGGACAGAAAAGCACTGACAATAACTGGGGCACAGGAAAGGAGTTCCCAAGGACAGGTGCTACACACCAAAGGGTGAGTCAACAGTAGGGATTTTAAATACCTGTTGCTCATGCTGCCTCTCCTTTTTCTACACATTTGGCAGACATCAATTTTTCATTGTCATGTTCTTTCTCATTGTCTCATCATCTTTTTTAACCCAGTGCTCACAGAGGCCACCAACAATCAACTGAAAGTGTATTTCATATTAAATAAAGACTACAATTTAAAAATTCTTCTTTCAGATTAGGTTAGAGTTACAAAGGGAGGCAGGACCGTATCCCCACAGCTTTGAAAGGAAGTTTGCAAGGCTGGCAGACAGGCAGGGGTGAACAAGGCTTGATAACTATTAAACTAGAACATGAGCTAAAGTAAGAGTAGTAAAAATATAATTTCCTCCTGCATTGCAGTAGGTATCATGTCTTCAGAACATAATTTGGCACCTGCTTGTGTATTTGCAAACTTCATGAGAGCAAGAGGGCTGCCCTACCTCATTAAAGCAAATTCCTGTTTGGAATATCAGAAGCAAGTCTGAGCTACATGGCTACAAAAACATTTTTCAGAGTTTTCATGGGCCTGTGGTATCTGTGAACCTGTGGTGTTTCAAATACATTTAAGGGAATTCTTGACTGTGGTTTCCCTATCTGACTCCTTTGTAAATCAGCTTTTCCACTTTGAAATGTTAACAGTTTTCAGAACTAAGCTTTCAGGCACCAAATAGGGTATGCCATAAAGCAGTTTGAAATTATATATAAAAT